ACCAACATAAACCTCTGACCAAAATACAAATCACTTCCTTCAATATATATACATGGATTTCAGTTGTGATTTCATTTTCCTCACTCTCAAAAGTTGGCCATAAATTTATCAAAATCCTTAATACAACAGTACAGGACAATACAATTCTTATCTCATCCCAAATCAGATCAACTCTTAACAAATAATGTTAATGAATTTACTTTTAATCACAAGTACTATCCACGGCAAAAAAAAAAAAAAAAACCAAAGTCTCGACTTCACAGGCTTCTTCTCCGGGGGAAATCTGGACAGAAAAAACGATCCCACGCCAAGCAACAACAGGAAAAAACAACTTGCATTGAATTTATATAACAATTGCCAGACTTTCTCATCCATATATGTCCCCTGCCTCCAGAACCAGACATTGATTACCAGAATCTGTTCCCTCTTCGTTTCATAAAATCAGAAGCAATTACCAAACGAAGCAGCAATAATGATTCATTCCTTCGAACAACAAAAATCTGGTTCAACAAATTCAAAATTGAACCGAGAGGAAGCTTGCAATTCGAAGAGGATATACAGCCAAATCATTCCAAATCAACATACCACAGTCAAAATACTAATAGCCACGGTTCTAAAAAAATTCATATGACTTGCAACCGGATGACAGACTGAAAACAGAGGAGGGACTGAACCAGAACCACTGAACCAGAACCATAAGCAAGAAGCTGATAGATCGATGAATGGAGGAAATACATGAGTGAACAAAATTTTTAATATCACCAGAGAGAGCTAACCTGAGTACAAGATCTGACCAACCGAACTACACAAGCCGACCTCACCGGGCGAACTGAAGAACGAAGATTGGAGACAGAGGATGGATGGATCGGACTACCCAACGCTTGCTTTGGTTTTGGCGAGCCGAGAAACACACGACCACCCCTGTTTTCGCGAGGCCAGGACGATCTCACCGGTGTCGAGTTTCAAGCAGCGACGGCGAAGAGTCGAGCTGGCGAAGAGGCGAGCTGGCGATGAAGCATGGCCGAAGACGCGACCTGATGATGAAGGGGCGAAGAGACGAGCTGATGATAAGGGGCGAAGGGTCGAGCTTCGAGCTAAGTCTGATCGTTCGGCGAAGAGGAGGAGTGTCGGCCAGCGAAGAAGAGAAGGATCTGGGGTGTTTTTGGAATGACTATTGCCTACTGGAGCCATCCCAAAATTTTTTCCAGAAGCGAATAATATTAGCTTCTGGTGAAACCATGGTTTCACCGGGTGAAACCAATGTTTCATCTTAAACCACGGTTTACAATTTTCATGGGCCTGTTTGGATGACATTTTGGGCAAACCATGGTTTGGGCTTCCAAACCATGGTTTCCAGTGTCATCCAAACAGGCCCTTGATCTAACTTTTTATAACGATTGTTTGGTTAGCTTATTCTTACGTGGCACCTGACTATGCAATCCTTGTTTATCAAGAACTAACTAGAAAACATTTTGAAAAATATGAGGATAATTTATAATAAAAGTAAACTGGAGGGACTAGATTGAAATTTGAAATTGTCGGCCAAAAAGGATTAAAAAAATTATTTTCCTTTCCTTTAAAAATATGAAGTTAAGGCAGCAAATATTTTTAATTGGCGAGAAAAGAAAAAGGACAAACTGGTTGCTCGCGAAGTGCACTGTGCAACTTGATTTGGTGATTGCCACAATCGTGCTGGAGTTTGAAAGTGTGAGATGGATTCTTCCAATCTGAGTTCACTTCCTGAAGATGGCGCTGAGGATCCTGCCCAAGGGAAAGATCAACCCGTGTCTGCTTTTGCCTCTAAACCCCATCGCCCACCATCTCAGTAGATTTCTTAACACTTTCTCTATGCTTTTCCTTTTAAGTTCGCAACGATCATGCGACGTCTGTTGTGTGCATTTTTTGATTCTGTTTTTTGTTTTTGTTTTTTGGGGTTTGAATTTATGCACTTTTTTCTCATCTCATTTTGGTGATTGTATTCATTCTTGTAGGAGTTCATCCGAAAAGTACTCACCCGTAGATTGGTCGGTGTATTTCGACAAAGAAGATGACGTTAAAATTCCGGACTCAAATGATGTTAGTCTTGAAAAAAAGAGAAAGCTTTTTCTCCCCTGCTGTTACTGTATTCCTTACGCCCATTCAGATAAATATTCTTCTTGACATCATTTTTTGTTCTCAAATATTTCAGGTGTTCCATGTCTACATGGCAGGATCTGAGGGGCCGGTTGTATTCTGTATACACGGTGGTGGTTATTGTGGGTATGCTTAGCCATTGCTGAACAGTCTATTATTCATATATATATATATATATATATATATATATATTGGCCTTTAATTCATGAAGCGTGATTGATCATGGGAATTAGATTGACGTCGCTTTCTTGGGGATGCTGGTTTCTTAAATCAGGAATTTATTTAATGAAGTTAGATGTTAAAGTCAAGTAAACTGTTCTCAAGTTTTCATGATAACATGTAGTTATACGTGCTAGTCCTGCGTGTGAAGGAAAAAGGGAGAATAAGAAATTTAATTGTTTAATATTATTTGAATCAGGAAGATGTTACAGTACAAAAGGTCCAATGTTATTACTAGAATCCCATGATCTGGAGAACTAGAATAGGAAAGAAACAACTCCCTCGTACGAGATCTGGAGAACTAGAATAGGAAAGAAACAACTCCCTCGTACGAAATCCTTTTAGTGTCAATAGATGTGCTTTCTTGGGAGAATTTTTGTTTGTAGTTCCCATTTGTAAGGGTGTCAACTGGATCACACCCCAAAATCCTAGTTTAATACAATAGATTTAGTGTTTAGGGTGTACATTCTTTGAGAGCTGACAATATCTTTCTTTGACCTTGTCATTTCCACTCCTAGTTAAACTTGTAGAGTCCCAAGGTAGTTAACTTCATATTCTTCGGCTGGAGCTTCGTTTAGCTTCTAAGATTTGATCAGTGCAATCACTTGTGAGTTGTGCTCATGGGGAGGATCAGCCTTTATCTCATGGGCTATCCTCTTCCTGTAGACAGTATGTCCTTCTGCTGTTTGTTATTATTCTGGCCAGGAACTAGTTCAAAGTTCAGATTTGGTTGCAGTATGGTAGTAGTGGGATCATGGTTGTTGGTATTGGGTATGATTGGGATAGATTCAAGAATTTGAGGAAGGTTCATTACAACTATGGAGAAAGGACTGTCCTTGTCAAAAAAGTGAAACCTTTGGCCGGTAGAATGATACTTGAGAGAAGCCTACCATTTAAGATAGAGAATTAGATGACAAGGAATGACATTTCTTCAGTAAACATTATCAAGGTTTAAAAGATGTGAGCCTAAGAGACATTAGATATCTAATTTACATCGGTCATGGCTTTATGAGTGACTTTCAGAAATTAATTATTTGGAATGGGGATTGCCAATTTAAATTTCTGAATGGAATTCAAATAACATCTTAATCTTTATGCTTGCTTTGAAGATCACAGTAACCTGCTCTAGAACTTAATTCCTGAAATTTAGGACTCTCTATTATTATGATGATGATGATCTTCATCATCATCTTGCATAATGTGTAAGGATATGTGAGTAAGTTCAAATGCAAAATTATCTAATATATATTCACTTCCAAAAGTATTTCTTCTTTTTATATTCTCAACTAGATCTAGATGTCTAGACATGAAAATTGTGAGGTACTTAAAAGTTTTTATCAATAATTTTGCCTGGAGATACACATATACTATTGTTACACTTTTTAAATTGCAGTCATGCATACAAGTATATAGGTAGTCAGATATAAAGTTTGATTTATTTCTGTGGAGTCTGCATTCTGATGGAGCTCATCACCTAATTCGATTACAGGCTTTCATTTGCTTTATCAGCTAGTAAAATTAAGGAGAAGGCCAGGGTTGTTGCCATGGACTTGAGAGGTCATGGGAAGTCATTGACAGATAATGATCTTGACTTATCTATTGAGGTACAAGAGACTAAACAAATTAAATCTGGCTTGTGTTTAATGTTCAGCCAATAGTTTTGGATCCTGCTCAAGTCCTTATATGAATTATCATGCCCACTTTTTCCCCCCCTTCAGACTCTGTGCAATGATGTATTGGCTGTTGTGAAGGCGCTATATGGAGATTCTCCTCCTGCAATCGTTCTTGTTGGCCATAGGTGGGCTATCTTAAAATTATCTTGCCTTGTTGCAGTTTCATTGACAGTTTTTTCAAGTAGGGGTGGGAGAAATGATGGATTACTAGGAAAGATTTATTTGATTTTTTTTATCAAAGATTTATTTGATGTTTTAGAAATTTGTTTATTAGACTTTCTTAGGTTAATTGCCTGTTTTATGCTTTATTTTTCACACAATTTGAGTTAGGTTTTTCTTTGACGTTGATTTGAACACTGGGTTTATGTATGCTAGGATTAAGTGGTTAATATGGTATTTAGGCTCTATAGATAACCCTAGGTTATTTTAATTGTTAGGCCTTTGACGAATTATTATGGACAAGTATTTTGCCGTTAGTTCTCTCTGTTCTCTCTCTTTTGCTCCCTCCATATTCTTCTTTTTCAACCTTTGCTTCCTTTTCTCTCTCCCGTCTTTCTCCCTTGTCCCACATCATACTCTTATATTTAATATTTCCATTATTCTGTTTACTGGATGCATCTAGTTATCATATAACTGTTTTTTTTTTGGTTGATATCATTGGAAGAGTTTATCTAACCTAGTTTGGTGTGATTGGTGAAGTTTGTTTTCCTTCTTTTGCTGGCTTAATATCAGTTTACATATGCTCAAACATATATTCATCTTCTTTATTGTCTATTCATTTTCTAGAGGAACTCTTGTTCTCCATTTTTAGTATTTCTTTATTAATTTATTCCTATAAAACATATTGGTGAAGCTAACAGACCTTGCCCTTCCTTTTTTTTTTTTTTAATTCTTTGGTTCAAAGTATGGGAGGTTCAGTTGCTGTGCATGTTGCTGCTAGGAAGTCACTGTCTAGCTTGGCTGGATTGGTTGTCGTGGATGTTGTAGAGGTTGGCTTCTACAGATGACTTTCTTGCTGCTTAATATTTACACCCCAGGCACTCAAAAGTTGATGTAATAAAATTTCAGGGAACAGCAATGGCTTCACTGATTCATATGCAGAAAATCTTATCAAGCAGGATGCAGCATTTTCCAAGCATTGAAAAGGCTGTAAGTTCTGGGTCTATAGTTCTTTCGTATCTGTTATCAGGTTGAGTAATCTATTTCTCTTTTGGACCTAATTTTTCCTAATCAATCTTGCATTGGCTGTGCTTCAGAATTTTAAATTGTCAGCTTTAAATGTTGTGTCTTTTTATGTATTATGCATGTCTTGAACAATATGAGCTCTTGCTTTAGTAACTCCTTGGAAAAGGTATTATAATCTTCAAAGAATTTCACTTGAGCGCTTTGACAAATTTTTTTTTTTTTTTTTTAAATCTTCATATCTTAATGGTACATGTTGAGGCGAACTGTCTGCACTTTGATTGAGAGAACTTAATTAGCAGTTTTGAGGTAATTGCGAAGAGATATTATGAGTTAAGTCTCATAGTCTTATAAGGTTACGTAAATAGTTGCCAGTGCGCTCGAAGTAACTATTGAGGGGTCGGCCGCTTTTCTCTTTGAGGTTCTGTTTAGTTGCTAGAAATGAGCTTTATGGAAAGGAATGGAAACTGATAGAGAGGAATTGTATGGTCTTTAATAATGTTTGATATGGCATAAAGAGGAACAGGTGTTTCATTTTCCTAAATGTAAAAGGGCTAGTCAAATAATATACATACTCGAACTTGAGATATCATGCTTAAGTAGAAATAGCCCTTTCCACTAAGATCAATACGTCTTGATTAAAATAATCGTTTTTTAATTACCATTACCAATAATAATAAAAATACTTAGTTTTTAGTACAACAGGAGGCGATTTATGTAAAGAGTCTTGTAGTTTGTTTGTAACTTTGAATGCTGGTTAACCCCTAATAGACGAGACGAATATCAATGGGAAGCCAAATTCTGTCTTCACAAGTTAAAAGTGGTCTTTCACTGATGCAGAAATTACCAAAAAGAAGGAAAAGTCCAAGGTGCTGAAGCAGATTTCTGTTCTTTTATTTTTTAAAATTTATGTTTGTGTCTTTTCTTGTCTTTTGGCTAGTGGTCAAGCCAATTTGATAGGATCCATTTATTTGCTTGCCTAACAAAGCAGAGAAGCTGCCTTATAAACCAACTCGTACCTTAGAAGATTCAGTATTCTTCTCAGTTAAAAATCTATTTTGACATATTATAAAATCCGTGCCCATGGGTTACCTTGATGACTAGGCTATAGGGTGGAAAATTGCTTGTCAAATGATGGTGCCATAATTGATTTAATCTGCCATGGCCTTCACTCTCCTAAAATTTCTCTTACATGTCAGTTTGTTAGTTGACGTGGGTTGAAAGTCATGAATGAAGTCCAAGATATTAGATATTTTTAGTATATAATATCTGGGATTTAATATTTTGATATCTAGCATGTACAACAACAACAATAACAAGCAGCTTGATCCCACTAGGTGGGTCGGCTATGTGGATCGCACGACATTATTGTGCTCTATCAAAAACCAAATCTTTAGATAAGTTGTTAACTAGAAGGTCTCGTTTAATGACCTCATTGTGCTTAATTTTCTTCTACTCTTTTTTAAGGAACTCCAAACTCTTTGATCTCCCCTTCTTAGTGGCGCCTCCAATGATCTTCTATGCACATGCCCAAACCACCTCAAATGATGTTCAACCATTCTTTCTTTGATAGGCGCCATACTATTTTTGCTTTGATAGTTTTGTTTCGAAGCTTATCTTTTATTGTATGACCACACAACCATCTCAACAATCTCATTTGCTACCCTAACTTTATGCTCTTGTTTTTCTTTTAGAGCCCAACATTCACTACTATATAACACAGCTGGTCTCGTAACAGTTCAATAGAATTTTTCATTAAGTTTCTCAGTTATCTTCTTATCACAAATAACTCTGGTAGCTTTTCTCCACTTTAACCACCCAACTTGTATTCTAGAAGAAGCAGCAGCAATAACAGCAACAACAACCTTAACCTATATTCCATCACTTTTTCCCACAATTTTATTGTATGACTCATAAGTTTATCCTTCTGTAGCTTGCACAGTTTTGAATGTCTCCTTTATTCTTGTAAATATGAGCTAAAATGCTTCTCCTCCAATCATCCGGCATATTCTTAGAGAGTAAAATTTCATGAAAAAGCTTGGTTAGCCACACCTCACCCTCATCGTCCAAACATTTCCAAACTTCAATAGGTATACCATCATGCCCAACGGCTTTATGATTGTCCATTTTCTTGAAAGCTGCCTTAACCTCTCCAATACGGATCCTGCAGTAAAAAGTTAAATTCCGATCATTTTCATTAATTAGCAAGTACTGTAAGTTCTGAGTCGCATAATTGCTTCCCTCATTAAATAACTTGTAAAAGTAAGCCTCCCATCTGTCTTTAATATCACCATCAGTAACTAGCACTTTACTATCTTCATCCTTTATACACTTTACTTGGTCTAGATCTCTCTTTTTCCTCTCCTTTTGCTTTGCAATCTTGTAAATATTTTTTTCTCCCGTCTTTGTTCTTAGCTCTTGATAAAACCTCTCATAAGCTTTAGTACGTGTTTCGCTCACTGCTCTCTTCGTCTCTTTTTTAGCCAACTGATATTTTTTGGTTTTCTACACTATTGCACAAATGTATGGCTTTAAAACAGTCTCTTTTCTGTCTGACTTTTTCTTACACACTCTTATCCCACCACCAAGTCTCCTTATCTCTCTGACCAGGACCTTTGGATTCTCCCAAAATTGCTTTAGCTACCATACGAACCCTTGTAGCTATCTCTTCCCACATCATGTTTGCATTTCCCTGTAACTCCCAAATCCCTTCCTCTAAAAGGGTCCTTTTGAATAACTTCCACTTCTCACCCTTTAACTGCCACCACTTACCCTTGAGTTTTACTACTTGATGGTACTTTTGCCTAATACTCTTAAAACGTACATCAAAGATAAGTACTTTATGTTGGGCAGTTACCTCATCTCTAGGAATCACTTTGCAATTAGTACACAATTTTCTGTCCGGATTCTTAACCAAAAAGAAATCAATCTGTGATTTTGAGGCACTACTCTTGTGCGTGATTAAATGCTCCTCTCGCGTCTTAAAACAAGTGTTGACAATCTTAAGATTGTATGCAAGAGAAAAGTCGAGAATAGATTGTCCTCCACTACTAAGCTCCCCAAAACCAAAATCACCATGAGCCTTGCTAAATTGTCCTGCTTCCTTACCGGCATGTTCATTAAAATCTTCACCGATAAATTTTTTTTCTTCGAGTAGTATGCTTTGAACCAGCCCTTCCATATTTTCCTAAAACTTATCTTTAAGATGTGTCTCTGTCCTAACCTGAGGTGCATAGGCACTAATGATATTGATAGTATCCTTTCCAACAACTATTCTTAAAGATATTATTTTGTCTTTAAACCTTTCAACTATGATACCAACACCATTCCTTGCACCCACCTTTCCTGTGTATACTCTCCAAGTTCCTTGGCAACTTCTCCGGTCCATTTGGTTTTTTAGAGGCACAAGATATTAATCTTTCTGACCCTCATAACTCCTACTACCTCCATAGATTTCTCATTCAGCGTCCTAATATTCTAAGTGCCAAATCTAATCTTGGTCTCATGAACTAACTTCTTTAGTTGCCTCCGTCCAAGAGAGTGCGGTAGCCCTCGCTCATTTAACACTACATTGGGCAACGATGCAGCGGCTCTAGCTCACTTTTTATTGTACTCGAGCCATACAGCGTGTCACTTCTGGGCAACGACCTAGTATTAGCATAATTACTTCGTTGATCTATGTTCATGAGATTCGACGGGTTTTTATGTTGGTTGTCGATGGCCTACCACAACCTTCTTCCTTTATCCGGGCTTGGGACAGGCTGTACAATATAGGTGGAGTTGTATTCTACAAGAAGCATTTTTATCAATTTCACCATCCTCATGTATAATGGATCTAAAATATTTGATATGTAATCTTTTATTTCATCACATTATCTATCTATTAGGTATTTTATCTAGTATTTAATTATCATCTAGAGATATTAGACAGATTTAACCTAGATTTATTAGAGTTAGAGAAGCAGACTTGTTGCCTCAAAATTTAGTCTCAGTCACCTTTTCTATATGTTCAAAATGTGGAATGTTAAATAGCTAGCTCTTGGTTGAAAGTATGCTCGAGTATAATTTAATTCGCATTTTCGCAGTAGTAAAATTTTATGTGAGCTGGAATTTGATTGGTGCAGATTGAATGGAATGTCAGAGGTGGCTCCTTGAGAAATGTTGATTCTGCTCGTGTATCAATTCCTACCACATTAAAGTATGATGATTCTAAGAAATGGTGGGTACTTATGTTTTTGAGTTCAATTATGCAGTTTACATTTTGCAAGATGGGTTAAATTCCCTCTTGATGGGCAGTGTCAAATCTTAGTTTTGTGTTGCAGTTATGTTTATCGAACACCACTAGAAGAGACTGAACAATACTGGAAAGGCTGGTATGTATAATCTTATTTTGCTGCTAACTGACTATTGAAAAAACATATTAAATGAGAACTGTTGGATGGGGCCAATCCCTAGGCCCATTTCACAAAGTCCTTTTTTCTTTTAATGATTTACAGAGTATATTACCATGTATATTTCTCTTAATCATAGGATAATTGGGTTTGATTAGGATTAGTGTTTTATTCCCTCACATGATTCTCGGGTGTGTATAGTTGCCCTATACTTTTTTAAAGCCTGGTATTCTGTTTTTTGGTTATGAGAATGAATTTGGTCTTGGAGATGCTCAAAAACGATTGCTTCCATGACACAGTATTGGGAAAATTTTTCAAATGACACAGGGAGAACGAGGCTACAGAGAGTATTTAGTGTATTCTCTGGTCCTTTTGCTAATGGAAATTGTGACGTTAAGTTCAGTTTCAGTTTCACTTAGAAAAGGGCTAGAACTTGTGTTTTCCTCTTTTTGAATTTTAGTTCAGAGTTATAGGCTTGCATTTTCCGGAGTTGGAGCTGTTCTCAAGTACACCTGCAAGTAGCGCCCATGTATCTTCTATAACAGATTATTTTGGGGCTAGAATGAGCGGAATCATTATCAATGTTTGGCTGATATTGCACCGATGGCCTACTCTAATGAATATTTCATAATCAAGAGACTCGGCCTTTCCTCAAATCATGGTTAATTAGGTTCCTAGTTTTCTGCTTTTAAATCTGGCACATCACAATGACAATATATATCTTTATCATACAAATATACTGTGGATTTTAAACAGGTAGAAGTATGATGAATTTCTTATCCGAAAATTTCATGGTGGCTTTTCTAGTATTTTCTACATTTAAGCTTAAATTTAAGAGTTTAATTTTCATTTAACAGGTATGAAGGCCTTTCAGACACATTTTTGTCATGTCCTGTTCCTAAGCTGTTGCTGTTGGCTGGAGCAGACAGATTGGACAGGTGCCCTTTCTAATTTCTTTAAGCTTGCGGGGCTTTTCCTGGAAGCTTATTATTTATTGTTTTCACAGAAATTCTTGTTCATTTTAGTTTGTTGATTTCTATAATTGGAATGAGATTTGACTTTTTTTTTTTTTTTGGCTCTTACATTACCCCCTTCCCCAATTATGATGTTGAAACTTTATCTGTATGTTCCAAGTGGCCGAACTGAATAATTGGCAAAATGAATAAATAAGTTGCTTAGCGTAGTGCAGTTTTTGGGAGGTTATTTTTGGGTGTCTATCATAAATAGTATTATTTTGATCTAATAAATATTCAGGATTTTCCAAGAGTATTGTTCCCATCACTAGATTCAAAAAGATGAGAAGAATGACGGGTGAGGCCAGTCATCTATCTACTGGCCAATATGAACTAATACAGATGTGTCCCGCATTTTAATTTGTCCTTTTCTTTTGGTTTATTTTAGCAGTATATAAGGCAGCATTGTACGGGGAATACTGAATTCATAGTGAAATGTATGGTCTCATTATTTTTCTTGTTTTTGGGGGAAAAAAATTATTGGTTATTCCTTGCATCATTCTGTTGCAGTCCTTTTATTATCCTGCATCTCTTGGCATGCACCTGAAACAGGATGGTGAGAATTGTCCTTTTTCAGATAACAAAGATAGTGTTTGTATAATGAATATAATTTTGTAAGTTTTATTTTCTTTATTTTATTTTATTTTTGAGTCCAAAATTTTGTAAGTTTTTATAAATAATTAAGATAGTTAGTGTATATGTATGCAGAACCTTGTTTCACTTTAATATTGATAATGTGAATGGGATTTCATGACAGTATTCAACACATAGTTGCAATATAATATCTCTTTCGGGCAACGATATCTAAGCAGAAACAGGAAAGTGAAGTTTTTGAATGTTTGGTAGATAGCACTATCGTAACATATTTTTCCTCTCATTTTGTGTCACGAGTGCTAAAATGGAATTGTTCAGTGGCATTCGGATATTTGATTGGCACTTTGTTTTGACAGGTCTCTAACAATTGGTCAAATGCAAGGGAAGTTTCAAATGGTGGTTGTCAGACATACTGGACATGCTATACAGGTTTCTATGGGTCATGTCTCTTGCAGCATTTATTATATTATTTTTTCGATCTCTTTGCCTTGAGATCTAATAGCTTCTGGCCGAATCTATTTAGGAAGATGTACCTGATGAGTTTGCGACTTTGATAATCAACTTTATTTCTCGCAACCGAATAGGTCCTCATGGAGTAGAGGTAATTATTTCTATTCTCTTTTGTGTTATTTATGACTGCCCTGGAGAAGTTTCTACTTTGTAGATCCTCTAAGTGGGTTTTGGCCGTTTGTAGGATTGTTGGTGTTTTCTATTATTTGGTTTGAGTTTTTCCACTCGATATGGATTACTTTTAAATCTTCTGTTGCAGACAGTCACTTGGACTGTAGGTCCCCCCCCCCCCCCCATCTAGCTCTGATGAAAGGTAATAATCATTTGAATACAGAGAGAGAAAGGCGCGTGACTTCGATCTTGTTGAAAGTATTTCATTCACGAGGCACAGTCCCTTGAGCTAGTTTGATCCATAAGATAAAACTGCTATTGCGCTTGAGAAAGTAAAGGCAGTATTTTCAATTGTCTTTCTTTGTTGCTATTGCTACTGTGTGCGCCCCTTTAGACTTCCGATTTTTTGAAACATTGGAATCATGAGGAGTATGAGAGATGAATTTTAGTGAAGAATTAAATTCATTATATGATATGTGGCTCTTGAGTATATGACCCAGAGTTGAGAAAACTTCATCCAATGCATTAAATGGCTAATTAATGGCAAATGAACATTGAGAAAAATAATAGGGATAAAAGTCATTTTTGCCTTGGAAGTATTGGCAAAGAAGCTTTGGGCATTCAGAAGTTTTTTTTTTTTTTTTAAAAAACTCAATATCACCTTATAAGTGTTAAAAAAGGAGCAATGTTGCCGTTTTCTTTAAAAATTTTCAAATTCCCACAGCTCATATGCAAATACTTCCTTGACAAATATGGCGATCTTCAACACAATAATACCACAGTTCCAGCGAATCATCATGTGGTCGGCGATGGCTCTTTTCCTGCGTCCCCAATAGGCTCTTTAGTTTCTCAATCTCCTCCTTGAGAAAATCAGCACAGCATAGGTAGAGGTTTTTCCTCTGCTGGAATTTGCCATTGTCATGAGTTTTGTTGAGCTTTGTCTCGTGGTGTTCTGAGGGCTACTGTGGTACTTCCAACATTTCTCCGTAGTGTATTGAGGCGTCTTGTAAAGTTTTGAATTATACCATAATATTTCTGGCTTGGTACTTTGCTTGGTTATACAATTTTTACATATAATTACATATGTAAACAGCTTGATGACATGAATATCCCTCATAATACTCATAGGTTTGACCTTTTTATTTTTCCTTCATATGGCTGCAGATACCTGGCCTCATCAAGCCATCCTTTTCAAAACCTTAGACTCAGAGGTTTGAGGCTTCAAATAAAGCAAATAAAATGATGATGGATGGCTTGCCCTAGCGTTGCTTCATGTGGCTGGTTACCTTATAGTATTTAATAATTTGTATGTTGTAGTGTACATTTATATAGATTATTATCAAATTTGATGACCCAACGAGAGAAGGCCAGGAGGGGGGAGGGGGGGGGGGGAACCCACGAGTTTAATATGAGTTTGCCCACTCTATTAGTTTAGATCTGCGGCTGACTTTTCTTTTTAGCAGTCTATCTTCTTTTTCTCTTCTGAAAAATTGTACCATTTACATTAAACTTTGATGGTTTAGATTTAATATTCTCAAAAAAAAAAAAAAAAGAGGACGAAAGGTTTAACTTGAGACAAACTCTGAAAATATTTCTTTTGGCTTCAAGTTCAACGCCCCATCTGGTTGCCTTGGATTAGATGCTGTAGAGAATCCCATGGATGACGATTCCGTAGATTTGGATTCTGTGGATTCAGTTAGAATTTTCATGGGATGATTTTCTTTTTTGGGAATGTGGTCAGTCAAGATAAATTTTAAGAAAAACTAGAGTAAATCTTCTGTTGAAAATTTTATTGGTGAGAAGGATTTGATAAATTTTTATATATAAAAAATATCAGTATGTTGCAAATTTTGTATACGGTATTCTTTTTATTTAAGTCCTTTTTTAGTTATAAAAACCTATAATCTAATTTCTACAATATTGGAAAATGTTTTATTAATGATCATTTAAATCGAAATAATTCGAAACTTCCTCTCTCAACCCCTTGCTTAAAAACTACACTGGTTTCCGGAGCTATAGGATAGACAGCGTCGTGTTTCTGGGACTTCAATTTTATTTTATCTGGTAGTAGTAATAATAATAATAATGAAATCCACAGTTTCGTGAAAGAAATGAAGATAAAATCAAAATAAAAAATATCATGATTGAGTGAAGATTTTTTTTCTTCAAAATATTTATACTCTGCACTTTCCGATTCAAACTCTGTTCTTGGGACGGACGCGCGCGCGCACACATATGTATGTATTTCTCAACTTGTTCGTCTTTTCCTTCTTTATTTTCCCCCTTAATTCGTTTTTCTTTGATGTTTCTTTCTCTTCCCCCCCCCCCCCCCCTTTATTGTGTAATGTGTTTGGACGGTTTCCTGTAAACTTTATGGACAGATTCATATCCTGGTGCTCTAACCCATGTTTGGCATGAAAGAATTGTATGAGAGGGTGGGAAAGGAAAGTTTTAATGAAATGGATTTTTAAAAAAAAAATTGTGTGATAACATTTTGATAAAAAAAATATGTAAGATAAAAATGTAAGAAAAATTTTAAAAATTTTTTAATCTACTTTTTTAATTTTTAAATTGAACTTATTAAAATTCTTATCTTCCCTCTCTTTTATTCTCCTCATATCAAATGAAAGGGTAATATGAACCATTTTCGATGACTTTAATAAGAATGTGAGGTAAAAATACCTTATATTTGAAAAAAAAAAAATGATCATGTGGCAATTAATGTCCATAGTTTTTTTTTTTTTTTCTTTTGGCCAGGTTCTGAGTCAGCTATCAAGTTCAGTGTTGTTTTGACAAATAAAAATATGGATCTCATTCTCAAGCAGAATGCTATCATCAATCATCAATTATAAATTATATTCTTAAAAATTTGTAATACCTGATTCATTTGAAAATGAATCGGGTATGACATTATTAGATATGAATATATTCAATTAATGATATTTGAATAACATGTTAATTAAAATTTGAATATATTGAATTAAATGAGAAATATTAATAAATGAAATCTCAATTGGAGGCTGAAAGAAGAAATTAATAATTAATTTTGATTTTGAATAATATCTTAATTAGGATTTAAATATATTGTACTAAATGTGAAGTATCATAATTAAATAGTATGTCAATTAGAAGTTTAAATGGAGAAATAAATAATTAAATTTAAATTTTCATCTATTCTTTCTAAATTCCGCATATGAATTAAAAAACATCATATTCCTATAAAAAGTAAATGTTGAGCTATAGTAGATAATGCAATTTATTAGAATTTTAAATATAATCAAATATGCCAATCAGGGGAGAAATTTGTAGTTGGAGTATAAATCCCACAACAACCCGACGACCTTTTAACACCAGTTACATTTTCGATTGCTTGATATATGAGTCAATTGCAACATGCAACATCATTGATGGAAGTCAAGCAATTAATACTTATTGCAATTAGCAATGTCATGGGGGCAAATACAATTGGGAGATCTGCTATCAAGTCCCAAAAAATAAACATCAGTATTAAAAAGTCAGGAGCCCATAATTACAAGTTTCAATATAAGAAATAACAATTGTTCACTCGTCACTTGAACTGCTGATGATTATTCTCTTTTCTGGGGGCCTCATTCTAATTCTAACAATACAATTTTGATGTGTAGAATAGTAGAGGCGAGCAACTTGATATTGTGGATAGGTTAAACATAACAAGAACATCTGGCATTAAATATCTACATTCATGATTCTACATTACATATCTAAACATTTCTAAAGGCATCAAACCTTATCATCACATAATGATCTAATCTGATAAGGATTCTCTTCCACCAAACTATCTAAACAAAAGTAAGTTTGCATTGCAATAATTAACCTTTAGGATGAAGGTGCTTCAAACTGGATGTTGCCAACTGGTACAAGACTCTCCACATAATTGAAACCATTGCCCCAGTAGCGTCCTGGGACCGCCAACATCTTGCATTCATTGGTAATGATATTGATCAAGTATAGACCAAAATTTTCTTCATCAGTCTCCATTTCACGTCCTCCACTCTCATTTGTAAATACAGGCTTTCCAAGGTAAGCACAGACAATTTCATTCCTCCAAATGGTCACAGGATAATCTAACATGGATGGGCAGGAATTGCAAGTATATTTTTTAGTCCACCTCCATCTCTCCGTAGATGAATCTATAACTTCCTCTAGCACCCACAAATCAATCAAAGAATATAGATAGTTCGGAAAGTCACCAATCCCAGAGAGAGAAATCACAGCCAGCTTGTCCTCATACACAGACAACTTAGAACTTGAACCATCCGATAAAGGAGGCCATGGTATCAATGTAAACACTTCCGTGGCAATATCAAATGAAACCACCATCTCGATGTCATCTTCCACATCTGACTTTAGAACATGCCAAAAGATAGATCCATTGGCAGTGACAGTGCCACCAAAAAGGCTAACACCCTTTAAAGGTCCAAATTCTATTTCCTTCCATGAACCTGTGCTTAATGAATACACTTCAACTCCATTAATCACACCATCATACTTAGCATAAGCTCTCACTATCTTATAATCATTAACAATTGCACTGAACCCAAATCCTTCGGCATAAACCCACTCACCAAATTTAACACTACTTGTTCTAGGGATCTGTCTGACCTCTCCAATAGCAGGATTCCACAGTAAAAGAGATTTGCACAAAAAAGGGGAAGGAATACGTATAGCAGACTCATCGATTGCAACACAGAGCAAGCCATAGCTGGAACTGATGATCTTAACATGCAGCAAAGAGCCGATCAAAGGTGGGTTCTGAATTTTAAGGACATTCATCTCGCAATCGATCAAACATAAGTGCAAAGGCTCATAGCTACTGTTCTGTTTCAAAAGAAGAGAAGGGTTTTGAAGAGAGGAGTGGTGGAGGTGGTCAGCGATGAAAGATGAGGTTTTGAAGAGATTTTTCCAACATTTGCACACACATTGGAATCGTATTAGGGATTTCAAAGGGAGTCGTTTGAGAATGTTTCTGATAATTTCTTCAGGAAGAAATGGCGCGTCGCAATGCACGACCACCTGCCTCATAGTGCAAGAGAGAAAAGAACAGATCTCTCAAAGGAAAGTAGAAGAAGTTAGGTTGAGGATCAAAACGATGTACCTGAGATTTTAGTCATCGTCCGAGAAGAAGGAATCTCACAGAGCAAAGCCCTCGCATTCAACTGGGGACTAATTACAAGCATAAATCATTTACGTTATAAATGTTTTGCATCTTAGTTCAATTCCATTGTAGTGATAATTCTTATTGTATTGCTATATACGGCTTATTTGGTTGGAGTTATCAATAACAGTGAATATTGCAATGGTAAGAAGAAGGGCTAAGATACAAAAATATCCCTGTACTTATACCAAATATGCGTTTGGCACCATAAATAAATCTTGACAGTAAAAATATACATAATAATTTCAAAAAGTTACCAAAATGCCATAATTGTTAATTATTGTAACATTGACTATTTATTTGACCAAAAGTGTTGACGTAGACACTAACATGACTTAAAGAGTCTGATAAAAAAGAGTGAAGGTGTAAATATACTTATGAACTTTTCTCAAATGTGCGTCGAATACCATACACAAACCTAGGGTGCATAAATATCTATTATTATTCCAAAGAATCTTAAGATGTTATAGTTGTTTAATTCATTAAAGATAACTGTCTAACTCAAACTTTTGACTAAACAAAGTGACAAAGACGTTAAGTTGGTATTTTAGTCTTCCTCCTTCAAGTGTAAGCCCCTTATCTTTACAAACTAGAGGAGATGTGACAAGCAACCGAGAGAGAGTAGCGTTGCTCTTTTTAGGGAAAAAAAAAAAGAGAGAGAGAGACTTTGATAGATGAAATGAGTAAGTTTTGTAGAGAATTTCAGTTTGCTTCTCTTAAATGAAAGTACAACGGTGAAGAGAAAACATCATTAGGATCAGAGGAAGACTAAAACGCAATCATTTAAAGGGAGGAGCTAGTTGCACTTGAAGGAGGGAGACTGAAACACTAGCTTAGGATCCGTGTCACTTTTTTTAGTCAAAAGTTTAAATTAGAAAGTCATCTTTGATTGATTAAACAATTGTAGCATTTTAGGGTTATCTTGAAATGATTATAGGTATTTTTACATCCAAAAATTGTTCATGGTGTCAAGTGCACATTTAGGACAAGTTCGTAGATATATTTGCACCTTCACTTTTTTTTAATCAAACCCTCTAAGCCACATCAGTATTCATGTAAGCACCTTTAGTCAAACAAATAGTCAATGTTATAATAATCAATGGTCGTGGTATTTTTGCAACTTTTAAAATTATTATGTATATTTTTACATCCAAAATTTGTTTATGATGCCAGATGTACATTTGGCACAAGTACATGAGTATTTTTGCACCCAAGATTTGTCGCTTTATCTTAATAGCATTTTTGAAAAATTTTTAATCTCATTATTTTTTTTAAAACTTCAACTAATTACAAATTTTGGAGTCACATGGCAACTAATTAGAGCTTCCCAATTTGGCCTTTTTATCATGAAGATTTGTGTTATCCATTAACTTACTTCACAAATTAAAATACTTGAAGATTCCGTGTTCATAAACATTGACTAAACTCATGGTTAAAATCCGGAAAAAAAAAATCATATTAATCAATATATATGTGTGTGTTTCAATACTTTGAGTTTATATTCCGCATTAAGTTGAAATCATCAAACATAAATCTTCTTCCAATTTATATATGATTGATATTGCCCTTCTCTTCTAGCCAGAAAGATTACATTTTTTTATCTTTGCGTATCTGCTAAAATCTCATCTGCAAACCTTGAAATGGAAATGGCTTTGGTGAACCCAATAAGTTGGTCCGGAGCAAGAACATGAGCTACTTGTCCCAGTTAATATGCTTTGTCCTAGAATGAACAATTGGATTTGATGTTAACATCACACAAAATCAATGGAGGAGATGGTTATTTTGATATTCAGCTTAAGTAACAGCATCTGTGATGCTTCTATATTCTGCTTCATTTGATGATCTAGTCACCGTTGGTTGCTTCTTTGAGAACCAAGATCCAAGATTTGGCCCTGAGAAAATACAGTAACCTAAGGTGCTTCTGTCAAATCTAAAATTTTTGTTCTTGGAATTGCCTACGTTATCTCTAGTGCCATCTAGATGCCTAAGCAATTTTTTTTTTTTAATACAACTTCGAAGTAAGAATAACATGGTCTCTGCTTATATTGACAAATCTTGTTGACCATATAGGAAATCTCTGGCCCAATGATGGCTGCATTTTGCAGTCCATTGTCCACCAGCCATAGGAGTATTAAACAAATCTCTTGTGAGATTTGCCTAATGCACAAGCTTTGTAACAATAAAGGAAGTAAATGAAGTTTTATTGCTTAATGGAATATTACAATCATTCAGAGTACATTCCTCAATTTTCGGTGTTTTTTTTGTGTCATTTTTTTTTTCATGCTTTCACATATGTGCAATGGCTTTCAAAATTTTGCAGTGCAGGGTCTTTGAGAAGCTTCTTGGTTAGTCCCTGGATCAAGTTGCTACAACAATGGATGTGTCACTGGTTTCTTATGGTCGTTGCACTATATTTCCAGTTCTAGAGTTTTGCTCACATAGTTGACTTGCTATCCTTCAGGATTTTCAGGACCTATATGGTCGCTTGAGGTGGTTTGCAAATGGCCTCAGTGCTTACCTTGCATGTGCACCTCATCTTCTGCCTGTGCTCGCATCCTACCCTGCGGCTTCATGGTTCAAGTTGGACTGACGCTTTTGTTCCGAGCTCCTCTCTTTATCGTTTTAGTGCATGTGTTGTTCTTTGCTTTTCTGTTTTCCTTCCAGTTATAGTTGGACCCTTATGTCTTCATTTGCTTTTATTATGTAATAGGGTACAAATGGTTGTATGTCATTTTACTTAGTTTTTTCATAAACTGTTCTTTTACATTAAAAAAAAAAAAAAATCATAGATGGATGGTCTTTGTCTCGGACTTAGGATTTAGATCTGCCTTTGATGGATCGGACTTTTTGACTAGAAAAATAGGAAATTAATCTGATAAACTAGGGAATTAATCAGTAGTAATTTTTTGCTTGTTAATTGAGGGAGAAAGCAAAAAATCATTATGCAATAAATGAAAGAGATAACATATTTCTACCTAATGGTCATCCTAACCCTATAAATTGGAGGTCTCTTGCGGGTGCATATGGTCATCCTAACCCTATAAATTGGAGGTCTCTTGCGGGTGCATCTACTATGCCACTCCAATTAAGTTCCAAGCTCTAGTAACCTAAACCTTGCATGAGCATTGACTATTTGGCTCACACAGCTGGAAGGTTGTATTAGCATGCTCGGTGTGTAAGCATGAGATAAAATTTGTTCACCATGCTAAAACGTTTTGCTTGGAAATGTGTTTGTGTAAGATTTAAAGTGTTTGAATCTTTATTCCAGTGTGTAAAGAAATATTTTTCGAAGAGCATTATTTAGATATTATAACTATTGGGAGTCCTTGTCAAACCTGTCCCATATGTGTTGAAATATCATGTGTGTGTAGAGCGAGGGAGGTATGACTTTTTTGACTTCGGATATACCTACATGTCTCCCTTCCATGCCCTTCGCATAAACACATGGAATTTTTCTGGTAAGGGAAAAAAAACACATGGAATTTTATTGTATGCCTCAATGTTAACGGCAGCATGCCTCTATCCTTACATGAATGTGAATTTTAACACATATTTTTCATTTTCACTCATTCTCTCTCATCTCTTTTTCCACTTATTCTCTCTTCTACTTACCCTCTCCATAAGTAAAGATGTTTTAGGAAAATAAATTGTATTGTTTTACATATTTATTGTCTCTACCAATTTTAACTTTCTTTTCAATTGTGTGAATTAGTTATTAAGCAGAGGGGGTGCAACTCTGTGCTTGCATCATTGATGGAAGTCAAGCAATTAATCCTTGCTGCAATTAGCAGAGTCATGGGGGAAAATATAATTTTGATGTGCAGAATAGTAGAGGCGATCAAGAGATTGTGGATAGGTCAAATGTAGCAAGAAACATATGGTATTGAATATCTACATTCATGATTCTACATTACACATCTAAACATTTCTAAAGGCATCAAACCTTATCATGACATAATGATCTGAACTGATAAGGATTCTCTTCCACCAAACTATCTAAACAACACTAAACTTGCATTGTAATAATTAACCTTTAGGATCAAGGTGCTTCAAACTGGATGTTGCCAACTGGTACAAGACTCTCCACATAATTGAAACCATCACCCAAGCGAAATCCAGGGACTGCGAACATCTTACATTCATTAGTAACCATATTGATCAAATATAGACCAACTCTTTCTTCACCAGTCTCCATTTCACGTCCAATTTCATTTGTAAATATAGAACCACAAACAATTCCATTCCTCCAGATGGTCACAGGATAACTTAACATGGATGGGCAGGTATTGCAAGTATATTTTTTAGTCCAACTCCATCTCTCCCTAGATGAGCCTATACCCTCCTCTAACACCCACAAATCAATCAAAGAATATAGATAGTTCGGAAAGTTCCCAATCCCAGAGAGAGAAATCACAGCAAGCTTGTCCTCATACACAGACAACTTACAACATAAACCATCGTATAAACAAGGAAATGGTATCAATGTAAACACTTCTGTCGCGATATCAAATGAAACCCCCCATTCAGTGTCAACATCGTCATCCTCCTCTTCCACACCTGACATTAGAACCGACCAAAAGATAGATCCATTGGCAGTGACTGTGTCACCAAAAATCCTGACACCCTCTAAGGGTCCAAATTCTATTTCCTTCCATGAACCTGTGCTTAATGAATACACTTCAACTCCACTAATCACACCTCCAAACTTACCATAAGCTTTCACTATCTTGTAATCATTAACAATTGCACTGAACCCAAATCCTACGGAGCAATCCCACTCACCAAATTTAACAGTTCTGGTTCTAGGGATCTGTCTGACCTCTCCAATAGCGGGATTCCACAGTAAAAGGGAATTGCACAAAAAAAA